ATCCTGTACAATTGGGATCTTAATCTGGAATTAAGCTATTCCACCATTATCCAGAGAGTTTTTCGCTCATTTTTCGTCCGCGGCGGCGAAGGCGTTACCATGGTGGCGATATTGGACTTAACTTGGTTTTATCAAGACATAGATGTGGAAAAAGTCCACTTCTGAGGTGCGAATGTATGATACGGTTCCATTATCTTTGAACCCGCGTACATTTGCACCCGTACATCTGAACCCGTAATTTGAACCCAGAACAATTGCACCTGTATACTATTGCACCTATGAACATTTGCACCTACGGACATTTGAACCCATACATTTCCACCCATGGATTTTAGCACCCGCATATAGATTGAACCCGCGGACATTTGAACCCGTGTACGTTTGCACCCGCGTACATTTGAACCCATGTACATTTGCACCCGCGGACATTTGAACCCGTGTACGTTTGCACCCGCGTACATTTGAACCCATGTACATTTGCACCTGCGGACATTTGAACCCATGTACATTTGAACCCACGAACATTTGCACCCTGGACATTTGCACCCGCGGACATTTGAACCCATGTACATTTGAACCCACGAACATTTGCACCCGCGGACATTTGAACCCATGTATATTTCCACCCACAGACATTTGAACCCACGTATATTTGAATCTGCGTACATTTGAACCCACGGACATTTGAACCCGCGTATATTTGAACCAACGTATATTATATTTGAACTCGCGTCCATTTGAACCCACGCACATTTTCACAAAAAATGTTTGCCCCAACAGCAAATTCCAGTCGCAAATAATTTTCATGTTACAGGCGCAAGCTCAATATTCTAAATTTCAACACTGTTTCATTTGTAGTTAGTTTTGGTGTATATGCATTTACCCGCTTCTACGAAGCAAGCATTTTTGAGTGTCATCGTAGTCCCTAGTCCGAGGGATAAACGTCTCTTAACGATATAAACAACATTGTTCTGCCAAGGTCTTTTTTCTTTTGCTGTTTTTTTTACATTGATATTTGTAAATCCTTATCTCCATCGTTAGCCGCGATCTCCAAAACAGACGATGACCTAGAAAGCGGTATTTCGTTGAAATACCTGAAACAAGGGCTAATACGGAACAAATATCTCACAGACCAATGAAGTCTTAAATGCGGGTCTTACTAAAACTAGCTTTACAGTAATATTTTTAGTGGTCAACTCCTATAAATTTGTTCTGAAATTATTGCACCGAAAACGCCTACTATGATATCCCGCCCAGCATGAGATTTGGGAGCTCTGTGGCCACTTCATGTTTTCTTGCTAGCATGTTTACAAAATTGTTATATGTATGCATACACGACCACGCTTTACTGTTGAAAATGAGTGTTGTCTCAAATCAGGTTTTGCCATTTTTCCTAAAATCAATCTATAAATTGAATACTATTGTCTGTATATAAATAAATAAACGCACAGATTCTTCGTTTCTAAGAAAATATGAAATTAAGATAATGAAACTATGTCATTTTTGTAACAACATGTTCATAGCCAAATGCCAGTTTTATTGAAGTATTGTTTCATTAGAATGTCAGAACAAAACTATACATAGAAATCGTAAGTCATGTAAATATGTTGAATATTCGAAAGTGAAGAAGTTTTAAAATCATTATCGTGGCCAAAAATGGTTTTTGCTGTTTACACTATTTAGAGTAAATCGAACATATTCAGCATATAGGGTCTGTTAAATATGATATTGCAATTTACAAACGACGTCATAGGTTACGGATTACATTTATTTTAATACTTCAATAAAGTTATCACTCACAAATTTGTGTCGAATGGGCGATCAATTTTGAGATAGAGTAGCTATGGACATTTTACAAAATAGGAATTTATCAATTATGATACAATAGTTAAACAACAAATCAAAATATGGACGATAAACGAAATTTTACGATATCACGATCAAAGTCAAAATCAAATAGACTGCATTTGAGCTATTGAGTGGAGATACCTCAGCTTGTCGGTTTCAGTTCCATATGAAAAAACTTTAACTGACAACCTAACAGCAAGTTGTACATACTTTGATCTTTGGTGGGCCGTAACTCCTACATGAGCATTTGCCGCAGTCAGTTTGTAGACCGCAATGTCTTTTCGTAGGCCATTCAGCAAACCCCATATACTCGGATGTTTGCATCGGAACATTCCTTGTAAGGCGTTGTGAAATCCTTCTACAGCGTTTGTTGTTCTTGGGGCCGAAGGCATCATTTCAATCTCTTTGGCATAGTTCCACAACCGAGGGGGAAATCTTGCTTCTCTTGGACGTGAACCCACTTGAGGTCCACGAATGTAGGTAGATTCAAAATATTGCAAAAGTTGATTGCATTCGGGCGAATCTTCGAAGGTGTCGCAAAGCAAGGTGAAGACTTCGGCAACCTCGTTAATGGGATCAAAAGCCAGAGCTGCCAAACTTCTAATTTTCAGATTGAAAGAGGGTAAACATTCAAACTTCTCTTTCAATCCGATAGAACCAACTTTTCGAATTTTAGCTTGTGACAGATGAAAATAACATCCTTTAATATCGGCCAGAGGAAATTGTCCATGGAATGCATTGATAGCTGCTATTTCAAAATCAACAATGATTTTGGTAGGGTTAGCATTTGGGAAAATGATTTTCAACACTTCCCACATCTGAACGTATGTTTCTTGTCGCTTGTCTCGTAATAGGAAATATACGCATGGTGGATAGGATGCGCCCACTTTACAGTGAATTGTATACAACTGGAAGAAAATACCGGGCACCACATCAAATGTACCGTCGCCAAGATATGTGACACTATCTAGATGTGCAAGTAGTGATCGATCTCCAATGGCCATTATCCGATGACGATCCTCCGGGCCAGTGTCATGCAAAATGATATCTAAATATTCGCTCGGAATATTAAAGCTTGCACTTGTAGGATTCGTACGTAAACAATTTTTCTGTCGCCTTACTCTGCGTATATTGGCCTCCAGAGTCGACTTGCCTGGCAAGCGCATTAGTACATCTCTTGATCTATTATTCAATACTTCACCTAAAATATATCTTGTCGATGTATTTGATGGTGTTGATGCTGCTTCTTTTAATGTTGCACGGATGATCCCAACTTCAGTCTTAATGCTGTCGCCAGAATGACTGTGATATCCTAGTTCTTTTATTACATTTTCACCGATCGTAACAACAGTCGATTTAAATCGAAATTTCCTAAACTGACGGCAGCGCCAATGAGTAGCATCTGAAACCCGATCCTTTCGCTTACAATATTCGTGGCCTTTGTAAATCAGTAAGTCGTTTCCTCTTGTGGTCTTGGAAAATGTAGGCGCCATGTTTCCAACTTATTTTCGCAAAGGGACTTGTCATCTTCGCTGCTGCAACGTCCTGAAGAAACAGTTTGGAATTGTCTGCGAGGGAAAAAGGGCATTGATGCGAGGAAAAACTTTGCGCGGGATCGAACTATCTGCGAGGGAAAAAGGGCATTGATGCGAGGAAAAACTTTGCGCGGGATCGAACTAACACATCAATTAAAATCCTTGCTCGCGCTCTTCAAGAGTCGTCGACCGTTCAAAGCACAAATCATACTCCCCAATTTTGGCTCGCATTCTACAGCGGAACATTTTGTCCATTGAGTCTTATGATATCGACAACTGCGATGACAATGACAGACGGAGTATAATATAAATATATAATATAATTTAAATATATAGAAAATGGTGACCGTACATTTGAACCCACGTACATTTGAACCTATGTGTATATCCACGGGTTTAATCTATATGCGGGTGCTAAAACCCATGGGTTAGGGTTAGTATGGGTTCAACTATCCGAGAAACAAAAAAATATCATAGGTGCAATAGCATACAGGTGCAATTGTCATGGGTTCAAATGTACGTGGGTTCAAATGTAATGGAACCATAGAAAATAGTTGTAATAAAGCCTTCGAGTATATAGTCGAGAATTCCATGGTAATATTGATTGTTTTCGCAACGTATGCATTTGGAGAAAGAATCCTAAGTGTACCTTCCAATCCTATATACCAGGGCTACTCAACTATTTTCACCAAAGGTCCGTTTACGAAACTTCAAAATTACCGGGGTCCGGACATTACAGAAAATTTATTTCATCAAATAAGCGAAACTTCAAATTCAATATTGAATTAAATACAAGAGCAATGAATGGCTCGCAAATATGGACACACATGTCGCACATCGGTACCAGTACGACAAACTGTACAGCTGTGTATTTAAATTGTATCAAAATCATTTAAAACTATAAAACGATGCTTATGCTGCTAAAATAAACAAGCAAACGCGGTCCAAATTTTATGGTCAAAAGGTCCGGATTCGGACCGCCAGTTGAGTAGCCCTGCTATATACTATAGTATATAGCATGGAAGGATAAGGGTGTATATGTAAAGACGCTGATATCCGTAAATGCAAATGCCCATGGGTGTAGATGTTCATGGGTGCAAATGTCTGTGGGTACAATTGTACGCGGGTGTAAAAGTACGCGGGTGTAAATGTATGTAGGTTCAAATGTCCGCGGGTGCAAATGTACATGGGTTCAAATGTCCGCGGGTGCAAATGTTCGTGGGTTCAAATGTACATGGGTTCAAATGTCCGCGGGTGCAAATGTACATGGGTTCAAATGTACGCGGGTGCAAACGTACACGGGTTCAAATGTCCGCGGGTGAAAATGTACATGGGTTCAAATGTACGCGGGTGCAAACGTACACGGGTTCAAATGTCCGCGGGTTCAATCTGTATGCGGGTGCTAAAATCCATGGGTGGAAATGTATGGGTTCAAATGTCCGTAGGTGCAAATGTCCATAGGTGCAATAGTATACAGGTGCAATTGTCCGGGGTTCAAATTACGGGTTCAGATGTACGGGTTCAAATGTACGTAGGTTCAAATGTGCTGTCACCTATGATTTACAGTCAATCGTTGCAAACCAGAGATTGACATGCATGTTCCGGACAAATTTGTGACTTGTTCAAAAACAAATGAGGTCACTTCGGTATGTCATTTCAAATGTTTAAAACCAGGATACACGGTATCTCCCACTAGGACAATCAGATGCTTACCGAACCAACAATGGAGCGGGAATATTCCATGTTGTGGTCGTAAGTAATACATAATCTATAATTCTTGTTTCAATGAATCGGCCATCAGAATGAAGCCAAGCGTTGGGAACATTTTGAGTATTTTCACAAATCAGTCTGGATTGAATATAATGCTAATTAGGAGAATCATGACTCTGTTATTTTTAAATAGTTTTGTCGGTGCTGCAGTAGCAAAATTTTGATTCGCGATAAGCGTAAATTTTTCAAAACCTGTCTATGGCTATGTTCTTGTTCCGCCATATAAAAAAATCGATGATTTTGAATTGACAATATATATATTGAAGTTTTCATTAACAACACTCATTTATAGAATTGATTTTTAGAATGACCGAATCTGCAATAACTTCAAATATATTTGCAACGTGCTAACATCTATTTTTCAAGGTTCTTGCAATCTGTTCATAAATATGGATGTTTATATAATTTTGGAATCTTCTGAATACATTGGAGTGAATACTTGGGTTGAAATGAAGAAATTAATCAAGGATGTATTGGAGTGCGAACATTTAACTCATGACGGTCTAAATACAATTGGAAATAATATTTTATAAATTTTGTTATTGTCACAGCTATACGAAATAGTATATATATTTTTACAATACATAATATAAACCAAAAATTGTTAATACAGTCTTTATCAGTTTAAAAGATGATCGTTATGAAACACTTTTTGTGGGAGCATTTGTGTCTTACATTGTTTTTATACACATAAATATTGAAGACTTTTTTGGATATAATAATATTATTTTACAAACGAATTTAGGAAATACGACATATCTTCGGAATCAATGAAGATTTCTGCAATGCGATTTAATGAGGATGTGGACACCGACAATATTATTCATATGAATGACTATCTGAATAAAAAATCGGAATTCTGGCATAAATTTGATAGACTGCCTCATGGTGGAAAAGGTATAATGTAGTTTTAATATGTAGTTAGTAATTTAGCAATATAATGGCATGTAAATTAAATATCCGTGAATACATGTTTTTCTTACATTCTTTCTTACTTATACAGCAATCAAAATCCGGGAACATAATATTAGCTTATACAAAAATCATATAAGTGAGGATCATGAAGTAATTGAATTCATTTTATTGTATCATTTTGAAAATATGTTTATAAATATATTTGCTCACAATTTATTTTCACTATACTAATTGATTGTTGTAAACTGCTTGTCTGAGGAAGTCTGACTTTGGTCAGACGAAACGTTACAGAAATACATTTGTGTTAGTGTGTAGCTGGACTCTTCATTTTGATAGAATAGTCATGTTTATTCCAGCTACAACATCTTTGCAGTATACGCATACAGATCCACTAGCATAGAGGCATGGCGGAAGATATAATCTCGCGCAACTCAGCTCAAAGTTATACTAATTTGAATGCCGTGGTTTATATATATTCAGGATCAAATACTAAAGCAATTCGGTACCTTGTCAATAACATGATGAACCAAGAATCTGGTAATCGCATCGATGTACAGGACTTAGTTTTTGTAATATCTTCAGGAAAATTTGATGATGATGTTTTTGAAGCTTCGAGGAAATTACGAGAAAGCGGAGCTGTTGTAAGTTTTGTTTTGTCAAAGGAAAATACCACAAAATCAATACGTATTCGTTGCATGGAGTTAAAACCTCGAACCTGTCACATCGATATGAAAATTCTACGTGGTTCCACTTTATGACAATAGACTATAGTCATTTCTCATTGGATCCTAATGCAAGGTTTGGCTATGCTAACCCATGGTAACGCCTTCGCCGCCGCGGACAAAAAACTCTTTGGATATTGGCAGAATAGCTAAATTCCAGATTATGATTTCAATTGTACAAAACATAATCCTCCCAAGACAGTGTACTTTTTATTATGCTCTGTTGGCAGAATTCATCATAAAACCTAATATTAAAAATTGTTTTGTGAATATCACGATATATTTTTCCGCATCGTATTAGTTAAAATGACTAAGGTAGGTTCTTTACATTTAACAAAGGCGCTTTCTCTTTTTTTGTTTGAATGAATAGGTATTTGTCCTTGCTATTTCTTCATCAGAGCCATGGTTTAATGAGCAAAAATTGATTCAGCAGGAGGGAAAAGAAATTTGATTTTGGAAGTCAATGAACATTTTATCCGTTCTTCTAATAATCATATATGGGCAGGAATTTGCGGACAAGGTTGCTAGGCTCAGATTTAATACTATTTGAAGCATAATCACAAATACTTCTATTTTATATTGGTGTCGCTGCTATGCAGGTATTTTTAGTCATACATTGATACTAGTAATTCCCCCATACCCGGTCAGTATTACCATGTCTTTAAAAAAATGAAAAGAAATATATGAAGTAGTTGAAACGAGTGATATCGTTATCGGGAAAAGACATTTGTGTGGCTCACTAAATGAACTGATGGCTCTACATCAGTATTGTGCCAAGGTCTTAAAATCTGACAAATCATGGGTCTTTTGTACTTGGTAAAATTGTTGGCTTTTTTATGTCTTGATTTGGCCTTTTATGATCGCTGGGATCTGGCAACCCTGTTCTGAGTTGTTAGGAAGCACACCGCAGCCACTGAGCTGTGGAATCTCGTTTTCTGTAAAAGCCTATTTTCATGCCTTGTTTTTGGACACGTTTAGTGGACATAACGATCGTTTCAATATTATGTTGTTATTGGACACGTTTAGTGGACATAACGATCGTTTCAATATTATGTTGTTATTGTTATTATTTGTCTCCATCATTTTTAAAAAATCGCTTTTCCCTTCAAATATTTATTTCTAAATTTCGCATGAAATCTGATATTTCGTCTAAAATTTCGCTGTATTATTTTATCCATGGGATCATTGGCTGTCCGGTTTGATTCTGTAAATTATTTCTACGCGAAACTCGGAATTTTTTGTGGGTACCGGTGGCGGTAAAGGTAAATACTGCTTCGCTCTGGTTAACGTGTCCATATATTTGAGCACAGCTCTCTTGTTTATTGTTATTTTTTTCCGTCATTATCATTGAAAAATCGCTTTTCTCTTCGAATACTGGACCAATTGCTTTGAAATTTTCAGTGGTTAAAAATTGATTTTTTTGCCAGAAGGCTATTACTTTCACTCATTTCAAAAATTTCTGTGGACTTCAAGAGATTTGTTTTTTATGTGTCAGAATGAAGAATAGCGACATCTTGTGACGTGTCCATACGCCATTTTGTGTCCGACTGTACCGCTTCGCTTGGTGTGAATATATTTGTTGAATGTGATCTGACGGAAAAAACCGTACTGTACTGTCGTGACTCGTGTCCATATATTTGGGCGTAGCTCTCTTGTTTATTCAGCTAATATTTAGAGTGACGGTCATATAAAAAGATTACAGTGTGTGAATTGACGGAAGAAACTGACCCACTGATGTCCATTACTGCAATGAAGTCAAGTTGGATGGTCTTTTGGGATCGGGCTGCTTAAGCGTTTCTGGTGTTACTCGCACATTGAATCACACAATATTTCTCCGTATTCATTGTTCGATGGTAGCACCAGTTATTACCTGCATAAGGGGATCATAGACCAGAAAGGTATTTTTCTATACGACTGGCGACATTATGACAATTAGGAATGGCGCTCCACAGCTATAATATGCCCCAACTGGTGTCTTTGCCGATATAGGAATCACACTTCTCAGGTTCAAACCCGAAAACACACATGTATATATATATGCGCGTTTTAGTCTGAATCCGCACAAAAGTTAACAAAGCTACATCAGTATTGTTGCGGTAGTCAGAGTCGAACTTATTAATCTCAGAATGCCGTACACTAGCCCCGCAAATGTCTATGATCCCAAATGCACCTATTTAGGGTTACCATATTTGAAAAAGCAAAATTCCGGACAGTGCATGAGTATTTTTAGCGCTCCCGAAGTATGTGCACCAAGATGGCACACAACCTATACCATGTTCAGGTTGTGCGCCATCTTGGTGCACATACTTCAGGAGCTCCATATTTTCATGAGACCATATATATGCTCTACCGAAATGCTAAGGCTGCAAACGCTGTACGATACTTATTCTAAAGCGCCAGCTATTGAAATAAAAGTATTGTCTTCAGTCACAAGCAGAATCTCACACCAGGCGGGTAAGCACTCTCTAAATAAATCTCAACTTCAGAGTGGAAAATAATAATGAGAATTAGGTTGTGCCAGAAAGGAAGAACAGCAATTACATGCTCAAAACAAATTACCGACACGCTTGTAAGTCAAGTCACTACAAATTTACTCTTTTGATCATGCATGTTTTTCTGGAGATCTAATTCTCTTCAATAGGGCATTTGCAGTTGTCTCTTGTAAGTGCCACACATTTTTTCAAAAGCATTATTTTTTCTAAGGTGTTTTTTACATAAGTGGCAATTGTGTCGGCAGTCTCGTTTGCCTTGTTTGTAAACTCAATCAATCTTGATTGCAAACCATTTTTGGATCTTTCCTCCAGTCCAAATATTGAAAAATTGTAGGAAATATTTTCAGTTCATTGTGATTGCTGCCATCTGTTGCAACGCCAAAATACGCGATATCGTTTTCTTCAAAACTTTTAAGTACGCTAGTAACCTTTTTTTGTCTTTGTGCGGCCACTACTAAACTTCTTCACTACATTATAATATAGGGAAAATCTTTTTAGGTAAAACAGATGCACAGTCCACGGACAAAAAGCAATGACGATGCTGAACGGCGTGAAATGCAAGAGTGCCTTCTGCGGCAGTGATTTCATCTTCGCATTTGCTTCCTGCTGTAACAAAATAATTTGTCATTCTCGTTGATACAACAGTCCCTCTTTGCAGATGTGTGTTTAAATCAGCATTACCATTGTGCACGACAGATATATAGGTTCCTGATTTGCAAATCAAGCATTCTGCCTCATAATCATTCCAGCCTTTTCTAAAACATGGATGTTTTTCTAGCATCTCGTTAGTGAATGTGTACGTTCGTTTAGAATTAGCCATCTGATATAATATCTTATTTTTATTAACAATAAATAAAACCCGACTAAAGATACATACTCTAAAACACAAAGTAATTTACCACCAGACTAACTGAACCAAAAGGCTTCAGGGACTAGCACTTCCGATCCCGAATTCCTGACTAGCTTCTTGTTCAAATAGAAAAATCCACAAGTAAAGCTTTGTGGTGAAAAACTTCTGTATTCAGCTAACTTAACAAGGAACTAGCTGCTGCTCAACAAAACGGGTAAAACAGTCAGCGAATAATAATCAGAAAGTTCTAAGTGGTAAACATCATTGAAAAGGAAAACGCTCTGTTACATCATAATTCCACACAACCTCGTAGTATTAGCAGTTTGCACAGTACGATTGCAAATACAGTAAAATTCCGGACATTTGAGCATTTTTTTAAATTCTTCCCGGACGCAAAATTTAACCCTAAATTCCGGACATGTCCGAACGGTATGGCAACCCTAACCTTTATACCCTTAAACCAGTGGTTCTCAACCGGGGGCCGGGGCCTCCAAGGGGTTCACGAAGCACTTCAAGGGGGGCCATGGCACAAAGCTAATTGATCATAAAGCGACTTCGTTTGCATACTCTCCTTTAAAATAAAATTCCCCGTTCAGACGTTTACCGCAGTTTCATTACCTGAATAGGTTATTTGCGATCACAGGGTATATGCTGTGCGTGAATTGTTTGATCACAATGAAATATAAAATCTACCAATCAAAATAGTTCTAATAGTGCCGTCTAACCTTCAGTATCGTATTATGCACACAAAAACACATATGTAAATTCCCGATGTCTAAAATACAAAAATGGAACGACAGTTAAATCGAGATGAGAGAGAATATGCGCAATGCCTGAATTGCTCGTATGTAAGGAGCAATGAATTATTACGTTCATCTAAACACCAAACCCACCGTGACAAAAATCATCCCCAACTGAAAGACGTTGACATCGGTTCCTTGGCTGCCAAGCACATTAGATTTGACAAAAAAGCAACATTGGCCAAGATCGGGTTTCTGTCGGAGGAAACAAAATCTATAGACCGTCTTGATGTTGACAGTACAATCGTCAAGCTATGTGAAAGACGGTGTCTAATAGAAAAAAACTCGTCAGACAGTCCCAAGCGCAAGATTCTCATTGATTGTATACTAAAAAGCATGGACTTTTTTTTGTCTGTGGTTTGTTTTTGGATTCCATAAAAGGTCGCAAAACAATCCAACACTTCTAATTTTTCGAAATTGCGAACAGGGGGGCCACGGGTGCAAAAAGCCGCCAGAAGGGGGCCACGAGCCATAAAAGGTTGGGAACCACTGCCCTAAATTGTCTTGCTGTTACAGATTTCCCAGCAAAATTTATCTTCAATATTATTCGATAAAGCAACTGTTTTATGTATTTGACTGACCATTTGCACTGGTGCATACGACACTTTCTGGATATTCAAATACAACTGTATTCAAGTTTAGAGTCTGATGAGAATATCGTTCTTAAAAAAATGTGGTCGTTTAGGCGAATAAGTATATATTGCATATTTATATTTTTATCCATGCTTATTTGGATAAAAACTATATTTCGTTGCATCAAATATAATAACAAGTTATGTTAATATTTTATAACATTATTTTCAGGATTGATATTCACTCCCTCATTTTCCGTCAGAAAATTTTAGTTACCGATTCACCCTTTTAATTACTTTTAGTGTCGCGTTGCCGATGATTGCATAATACCGAGTTTATCACACCGGAAGCAGAGTTCCGGTAAGGAAATAAACAATTATCGACGTCTCTGTGACACCAAACTTTCGTTTGCAAAGGGCTACATTTGATATTCCCAAAAAATTAGTTTACCTATATAATATTGGTGATAACGCGTATTTAACAACGTCAAGTTGAGCAAAACATTCGGTGACTAGAATAAAATTAGCCCTGCAAAAATAATAGCACGCGTTTTAGGGAGTTTTTAGATTTCCATACAAATTTGAAATGGGGGTCCGACGTCGGGGCTGACCCTCTGGCTTCGCCTATATAACAAATGCCATTGTTGTCAAAAATTACAATTTCCTCAGTTATTCTTTAATAAGACCGTTCCCGATGATCGATCACTGACTAGACGAATAGTTTTACAAGGAATAAAAAAATCAAATTCCCACGTCCGTTACATATGTCCGTCTATTACTCATTTTGTTGCATCGATGTCTCACTCTATGATTCGAACGTGAAGGAAGTTAAACAAAACTTATTTTGATTGAATTCCCATATGAGAATCAATGATAATATTATGTTTTTCACATATCAAAATGTGGCAATCATAGCCATGCTGCAATAATATATATATAATATTTAAATGATTCGTACCAAGTAGATCAATGATAAAAAAAGACACATCGCATACCGCAATGGAATTCAAGCTACAATCTATAGTTACTCTCATGTATGAAGTTCGGTATTAATATGTATTGATTCAGTTTCCGGTTGTTGTTAAGCAAGTTCAAAAATTAGTAGTTTGAGTATTCGTTTATTATACGTTAAGTTTTGACGTTAATTTTAAACTGTTCCGCTTATTCTCGTTCGTTTGCATACGTAATCAGAGGTCTTGAGGAGTTGAAATTGAGTTGATATTCTTTAATTGTCAAGAGTGTTATACTGAAAATTATTCCTTGAAAATGTGTCGTATATATAACGATTTATAATTAAAAAAAAGTGCTGATCATATCGCAGCAGTGATGCTTCAAGAACAGTTAAAAAAATACCTCTACATTTGCTTGTATATTCATGCATGTCAAGAAGCTTCGAAATGTGAACAAAATGCCGAAGGTAATTCGATACATCATATTATATTAGTTTTTTTTTCCATAATCACATAATATTTAGAGCGGCATCAATCATATAAATAAGCCAAATTTGAGTTATCTGAGATGAAAAGTAATTTAAAAAGATCATGGTAGTGACGGGAATAATGTTTATTAATTGTTATCACAATACTTTTTTCTGTTTAACTTTTCGCACCAACAAGAAACAGGATGTGATCCAATTTCAACTCCAGAGAATGGAAAAATATATTGTACCAATGGCAACATCGTGGGTTCTGAATGTGCATTTGCATGTGCGCCTTATCATTCGTTAGTTGGATCAAGTAAAATCAAATGTTTACAAACGTTATCTGGATTGAAATGGTCGAATTCAACTGTGGTTTTATGCAAAAGTAAGTATATTTGGTTTACAATCCGTGTGATCTAAAAAACTTCTATGTGTATGATAAACTTACATTTTTATTTTACATCCTATTCGCATCAAAAACCTTATACTGTAATACTGAATATATAATTTACAGTCAATCGATGCAAACCAGAGATCGACATGCATGTTCCCGGCAAATTTGTGACTTGTTCAAAAACAAATGAGGTCACTTCTGTATGTCATTTTAAATGTTTAAAACCATGGTACATGGTATTTCCCACAAGGACAATCAGATGCTTACCGAACCAACAATGGAGCGGGAAAATTCCATGTTGTGGTCGTAAGTAATACATAATCTATCAGAATGAAGCCAAGCATTAGGAACATTTTAAGTATTTTCAAAAATCAGCACGAATTGAATATAATGCTAATTGGGAGAATCAGGACTCTGTTATTTTTGAAAAATTTAATCATAGAATAACAATAAAACACTTCTTCTACTACAAGAGGCCTTCGGTGATGCAGTAGCAAAATTGTGATTCGCGATAAGCGTAGTCTAAAGTATTCAAAGCCGGTCTATGGATATGTTCTTGTTCCGCCATATAAAAAATGGATGATTTTCAATTGACAATATTTAAGTTTTTGTTAACAACACTTATTTATAGACTTGATATTTAGATTGACCGATCTGGAGTAACTTCTAATATATTTGCAACGTGCTAACATCCCTTTTTCAAGGTTCTTGCGGTCTGTTCCGACCTACGGATATTTATATAATTTTGGAATCTTCTGAATACATTGGAGTGAATGCTTGGGTTAAAATGAAGAAATCTTTCAAGGATATGTTGGGGTACAAACATTTAATTTATAACGGTGTAAATACAATTCTAAATGATATTTTATTATCGTCACAACTATATGAAATAGTATATTTTAACATAACGTAATAAAAACCAAATAAATTTATTACAGTATAATCAGTTAAAAAGATAATCGTTTTGAAACACTTTCTGTTGAAGCATTTGTGTCTTTCATCGTTTTTATACAAATAAATATTGAAGACTTTTTTAGAAATAATAATAATATTTTACATACGAATTCAGGAGATTCGACATATCTTCGGAATCAATGAAGATTTCTGCAATGCGATTTAATAAGGATGTGGACACCGACAATATTATTCATATGGATGACTCGGAATTCTGGTATAAATTTGATAGACTGCCTCACGGTGGAAAAGGTATAATGTAGTTTTACACCGGGAACATATATTAGCCAATACGAAAATCATATAAATGAGCTATATCTTACTTAGCTCACGAAGTAATTGAATTCATTTTAAAAATATGTTTATAAATATATTTTCTCTCACTTTATTTCCAATTAGTACTATATTAATTGATTGTTATAAACGGCTTGTCTGAGGAAGTCTAACTTTGGTCAGACGAAACGTTACGGAAATACATTTGTGTTAGTGTGACTCTTCAATTGGTTAGAATAGCCATGTTTATTCCAGCTACATCATACGGATCCACTAGCATAAAGGCATAGACTAAAGCAGGGGTCGGGAACCCATGGCTCGCGTGCCCTATATGACTCTTTTAGTGACGTCAAATGGTTCACAGAAAAATCGAATGTTCTGAAGTTAAGCCTACTATTGCTACAAGGTTTCAAACTCTTTTATAGCAAAATTTGCCAATACGTTTGAAAACGCGCGCCCATCGAATGTATGTCTGTGTTATGTAAGAGAATTATCAGATGGGCATTGTGACAAAACTAGGGGATTCTGAAACATATTTTGTGACATAACAGAGCGATAGTAGAGCAGCAAAGCAATAGAGAGAAGTTTTTCGTCCGTTTGTACGTACTGGTTACTCAACTATTTTCACTAAAGGTCCGTATTGCCGGGGTCCGGTCATACCAAAAATATATTTTAGCTATGCAAGCTATTCAAATTTATCGTTTGACGAAATACGGTACAAGAGCATTACTCAATATCGCGATTCGATATCAGTAAGACGGGGCTTCACATGTGTAGCTGAGCGCCGACTTTGCTGAAAAGATATGAAATATTCGCCCACATAGCACTCGTAAAAATATATATATATATTTAGGACTGAAAATTTAGAACACATTAGCTGTGGAAAATACCCATTTTCTATTAAGAAAAACCACAAAGTCACAAAAATTTAAGCAAAACGATGTGGTTGCTGAAAGTTCGGTTTTCACGCCATCATTCACATCTTGCTGATTGGCCAATGCTAGGGAGGTAAACAAGTGAGTCGATGCTTTGAAAAAAATATATTGCTATGGCAATTTTTCCCTTATCAGTAGTTTAGCAAAAAACGCATTACATTACAATTTCGAAATGAAAAGAAACGATGTATTCAAATTCGAAAAACAGCTGCGGTCCAAATTTAATACTCTGAAGGTCCGGTCCGCCAGTTGAGCAGCCCTGGGTATTTGTCATATTTAGATCGGACTAGCAAAGCTAGTTCTCGAAATACTACGGAGATGCCTAAACGAAAGAAGGGAGATGAGTATTGTAGATTTCAACTTGTGCTGCATGTGAGCAGTCGTTCAACGCCCGCGACGACAACATGCAGCAGCAGAAGTGTTGACCTCTGAGTAAAAATTTCAGGCCTGATTAAGTGAAGAAATGCTATGCACGGAAATGCAATTGATAATATGTACTTTTCATGGCTTTCTTGACCAAAAAAGTTCTCGATCCCTGGCACTAGAGGAAAGATAGGGAGTTAGTCTCGCGCAACCCAACTCAAAGTTATACTAATTTGAATACCGTTGTATATATTTAGGATCAAATACTGGCAAAGCAATTCGGTATCTTGTCAACAACATGATGAACAAAGAATCTGGTAATCGCATCGATGTATTGGACGTTGTTTATTTATTCTCTTCAGGAAAATTTGATGATGATGTTTCTGAAGCATCGAGGGAATTACGAGAAAGTGGAGCGTTAGTAAGTTTTGTTTTGTCAAAGGAAAATATCACAAAATCAATACGTATTCGTTGCATGGAGTTAAAAGTTAAATCCCTAAACCTGTCACATCGGTATGAAAATCTTACGTGTTTCTATTTTTATGATAATAGACAATAATCATTTCTCGTGGGATCTTAATGCAAGACTTGGCTATGCTAACCACATCAAAGGAGACTTAGTCCGTTGCGGCAATTGCGATATGATTGGGTTCTGGTAAATTTCCTATTTCGTGTTTAAAACGCAACATATTTGGATTTTAATAAGTCACTCCTGCCGTGATTGTTGCCTATACTGTATTCTGCTGGTATCACTATGCATTCGCACCTCAGAAGTGGACTTTTTTCACCATCTATGCCGTGGTAAAAGCGAGTTAAGTCAATATCGCCACCCCATGGTAACGCCTTCGCCGCCGCAGACGAAAAATGAGCGAATAACTCTCTGGATAATAGTAGCATAGCTAAATTTTAGATTTAAGATCCCAATTTTACAGCACGTAATCCTCCCGAGACAGTACACTTTTTTATGCTCTGGTGGCAGAATTTCCTCATAAAACCAATGCTAAAAATTGTTTTGTGAATATCACAATATGTTTTTCCGCATCGTATTAGTTTAAATCAGGAGTGTGCAAACTGCGGCCCGCAAAGAAAATTGTGCGGCTCGCGGATTTTGAATAGTGTGCCCGCGAAACGAGTTTTTTGTTTAGTTAATCTGGTACAGGAGTGGCCAACTCGCGGCTCGCGAGCCACATGCGGCTCTTGCTCCGTTTCATGCGGCCCTTTTTGCCCCGGTTATTTTAGGAAAAAAATAACTTTAAACTATAGTTCGTCATGTTTCGATTAAACATATTATGATTCTTCGTGCATTCTTCTTTTACGTCAAAGATACATGAACGCCGCCATTTACTTTACAAATTCGACCATTATTAGGTCACAATCAAATTCTCTGTTGTGAGACGCCACTATTGCGCTACAACGTCTGTAGACTGTCGCTTACTCGCTTCGGATATTGTCAATGTATGAGTCAACATACGTTTGCGAATCTGTAATTTCTACCCTAAAACACTCGACATCAAAGCATTGACATCATGCAAGACAAATTTAAGAGGATTGAACAATCAAAGGAGAGCCAGAAGTCCCACTAGGTAGCATGCATAACAATAAATGGCTTGTAAATTTCTGTCATAATCATGTTGGTTAGTGACATTCACAATAAGCATTTAAAACAGAGCTGAATAAAGGTAGCCTATATCTGATGTTCTTGTTTATATTGTGGCTCTTCGCGGGAATAAAGTACGAAATGCGGCTCTTGGTCTCTAGTGCCACTGTCCTATTAGCAAAACTAGCTAGCAAAATGCACAATGTTATAAAAACGTGTTTCTCACTGAATTCATTCGAAGTCGGTATGACAATAAATTTGAATAGCAGCTTTCTTTAGAAATTTATGCGTCCTAACTCATCATTTCTGCAAAGAACCCTGACGATGTCGCAAGATCAATAACAAAATGAAACAATTTTTTGTGCTTGCAACTACAGTAGTAACTCTATCTACAAAATTAATTTGTTTCGTAGGTAGAAAATTACGTATGCAGGGACACATTTCACCTGTAAAGGCCCTAATCCGTTTTAAGCCCACACAAAACTCGGACATAATATTCGTATAAATTATAATAATGGCTAAAACCCGTGAAAAATACATGTTAGAATACATGTTATACATGTTACAGCATAATAAATAGAAAAGGTATACACGGAAAGAAGAAAATCAGAAGAATATCGAATAAAAACTACGAACGGCATGTTTGTTCACCTTTGGCGTTGTTGACTAGGCTAGGAAGACCGCGGTCGGAGGAAGTGGAAAGAGGCGGCAAAATTTGACCGCAGAGAGAGAACGTAATGTACGAAAATGAGCACACACATGAAATTCCTATTTGTTTCCCATTTTTTTTTCATCGTACATCGTCTTTTAAACTGAATTTTGCTAGCAACACATTGTACGTACCCCGGGAAACAAACGGGCCAATGAGATGCCAGACAATTTTTTGCCGTGCCTTACGATAAAAAATGAAATAATTGTAAACCATTTTAAATCAGATCGTGGACTACGGCGATAGGATATATGCGCTATATTCGGTCTTCTTGTAAACCCGAAAAACGATATTCGAAGGTCACGATATTCGATATCAAATTCAAATTGGACATCCGTTCTTTAAGCACTTCATTGAATTAACCTGAAATAAACAAATATCAATACACGGAATTTTCAAGTTTTCCGTTTTCGGCCTTTTGTGTGTAGAAAATCTTACGTTAGCCGAAGCAATAGGTAGGCCTTTCGTGTAGGTAGAGGCCCGTTGCTTCACCCAGTTACTGTATCTGGCCCTCGTACAATACAAGTTGCACACCCCTGGTTTAAATGACCAAGGTCGATTCTTTACAATTAACAAAAGCACTTTCTCTTTCTTTGTTCGAATGAATAGGTATCTGTCAGTGCTATTTCTTCATCAGAGCCATGGTTCAATGAGGAAAAGTTGAATCAAATCGCAGGAGGGAAAAACCATTTGTATTTGTTAGACAGTGAAGATGCTATTGAACATCCTTATTATTTTCCTTGGCCGGGAATTTGCGGACGAGGTTGCTAGGCTCAGATTGAATACCATTTGAATCATAATTACAAATACTTCTATGTATATATTGGTGTTGCTGCTATGCAGAAAGTTTTTGTCATATATATATATATATATATATTGATACCAGTAATTTCCTTATGCCCGGTTAGTATTACCATGTATTCAAAAATGAAAAAAAATATATGAACTAGTGGAAAATGAGTGATATCGTTGACCGACATGAACAGACCTGCGGTGGATATGACAAAGGACTGGCTAGTGGCTACAGCTTACATTAAAATATTATTAGGACCGTCGTGAGGAGGCGATGGCGTCTAGCGTCATGGTGTAAAAATGTTCACCTATTTTAATTATGGACACTACATTGTGTTCTGAAAATTCTTTAGCAATATTTCTTTTCATAGTCGTGTCAGTTTTGCATCATTTAACAATTATATAGGCGCAGCAGATTCATATTGAGTCAAATGAATTGATTTATTATCAATAATTGGATACTAATTATTGATACTACAAAATTTATCTCCAATATTATTTCGATAAAGCAACTGTTTTATGTATTTGACTGACCATTTTCACTGGTACATACGGCACTTCCTGGATATCCAAATACAACTATATCAAGTTTAAAGTCTGACGAGGATTATCGTTCTTAAAAAAATGTGGTTGTTTTTGAGCGACTTAACATAGCGATTTTTTGCCGGCATTCAAAAAGTAGTGTGTTATTAGGAGACTTCAGAGAAATTGGAGGACAATTCAGATGTTTTGGTTTTGAGTATTAAGATTTTCGTTATTGGATTGATTTACCTTGCTGTACAAACACAGCTTATTTATTAAGAGAGGGATTTACATCGAGATATCGAAATAGCATTAAAGAACAGTTTACAACATTATATATTTTAGCATGGGTCGGCAACCCGCTTGGCCACAGCGGGCTGGCAAGCAATTGCAGGTTCAGCAGAGAGCAAAATTTGATTTGTCACTGCGATCTGCAGTAACATGTAGTTCGATTGGAATATAAATAAATAAGCAATAAGCATTACATCTGAACGTCATTATCTATCTATGAAACTAGTTTCTTACCAACAGCGGCCAATTGATGGATATGAGAGCAATGCTTACAAATATATGAGCACGAGTACAAAATGAATATTTTACCGCTGCAATTATCAAATGATTATGTACCAATTAGATCAATATTAAGAAGACCAGCGCGAATGTCGCAATGCCATTCTAGCTACAATCCATTTTACTTTTATGTATGAAGTTCGGTATAAGTATGCATTGATCGGTTTCCAGTTATCGTTCACGCTATGCATGAGTACACGGGAGTTAGTCGGAAATTTCAAGAATGCGACTTTCGTTTTTAAGTTAAATGGAAGCTAGGATAAGCAAGTTGAAAAATATAGCATTTCGAGTATTATTATACGTCACGTTCTGCTGTTGATTTGATTGAAACTGAAAATCTATTTCGCTTGTTATTCTACTTACTTTTATTCTCATGCGTTTGTTGTACGCAAATGACGTATTGGAGAATTGAAAGTTTATAACTGCCAGAAGGTTATACCAAAATTTACTTCATATACATATATCGTATAACGGAATATAATTGAAAAAAACAAGGTCATACTGCAGCAGTGATGCTTCAAGAACAGTTGAAATACCTTTTCATTTGCTTGTATATCCATGCATGTCACGAAGCTAAAATGTGAACAAAATGCCGAAGGTAATTCGATACATTATATTATATTAGTTGTAAGTTCTCTTTTATTATCAATAAAAAAAATGAAAGCAACATCAATCAAATAATCTTGAGGAGTCTAATCTTATCTGAAATGAAAAATAGTTTAGATAACTGAAATGGGGCGCTCGAGAAGTATGTGCACCAAGATGGCGCACAACCTGAACCCTGACCTGGTACACATACTATGTTCAGGACGTGCGCCATCTTGGTGCACATACTTCTGAAGCTCCTGGAATAGTTACAGGGATATTTTATGTGTAATAATTGTTAGCGCAATGATTTTCTGTTTTATCTTTTCTCGCTAACACGAAACAGGATGTAATTTCAACTCTAGAGAAGGAAAAATATATTGTAGCGATGGCAACATCGTTGGTTCTGAACTTCTGAATGTGCATTTGCATGTAAGCTTTATCTTACGTTAGTTGGATCGAGTAAAATTAAATGTTTACAAACGTCATCTGGATTGAAATGGTCGAATTCAACTGTGGTTTTATGCAAACGTGAGTATATTTGTTATACAATCCGTGTGATCTAAAACACTTTTATGTGTATGATAAACATATCTTTTTTTTACATCCAATTCGCACCAACAATCTTATACTGTAATACTGAATATATAATTTACAGTCAATCGTTGCAAACCAGAGATTGACATGCATGTCCCGGGCAAATTTGTGACTTGTTCAAAAACAAATGAGGTCACTTCTGTATGTCATTTTAAATGTTTAAAACCATGGTACATGGTATTTATCACTAGGACAATCAGATGCTTACCGAACCAACAATGGAGCGGGAAAATTCCATGTTGTGGTCGTAAGTAATACATAATGTATAATTCTTGTTCTAATGAATCGGCCGTCAGAATGAAGCCAGGCTTTAGGAACATTTTAAGTATTTTCACAAATCAGCCTGGATTGAATATAATGATAATTGGGAGAATCATGACTCTGTTGTTTTAAAATAATTTTGTCATAGATTTACCATAAAACACTGCTTCTTCTACAAGAGGCCTTCGGTGATGCAGTAGCAGAATTGTAGTTCGCGATGAGCGTAAATTATTCAAAGCCTGTGATGTATGGCTATGTTCTTGTTCCGCCATATAAAAAATCGATGATTTTCAATTGACAATATTTGAGTTTTCGTTAACAACACTTATTTATATGGAATTGATTTTTGGATTGACCTATTCTGGAATAACTTCTAATATATTAGCAACGTGCTAACATCCCTTTTTCAAGGTTCTTGCAATCTGTTCCCAATTACGGTTTTTCATATAATTTTGGAATCTTCTGAATACATGAATGCTTAAATGGAAGGAATTCAAGGTTGGGTTGACTTGGAGTACAAACATTTAACTTATAACGGTCTGAATACAATTCGAAATTACATTTTATTAATTTTGTTATTGTCACAGCTATACGGAATAGTATATTTTTACAATACATAATATAAACCAAAAAATTGTTGATACGGTAAGATAATCGGTATGAAACACTTTTTGTTGAAGCATTTGTTTCTTACATCGTTTTTATACAAATAAATATTGAAGACTTTTTTGGAAATAATAATATATAATAATATTTTACAAACGAATTCAGGAGATACGACATATCTTCGGAACCAGCGACGATTTCTGCAATACGATTTAATATCCTGCGCACGCAACTCAATGCATTTGTTTTGATAGGATTAGTAACATTTATTTACTTTACCAAATATCATAGCCAAACCCTATGAGTTTTCTAATTGAACACCTAGTTTACGAACTTCAGTGCGCTATGCATTTAATTCAATTAATGCATCTGGATTACAAACATCAATTTTTTATTATCTGAAATATCTCTTTTTCGGGCTGAAATATTGTGCGCCATGAACAATGGTCACAGACTATTGTTTTGCCCGTTTGTCCAGCATACCCAAAGTAATAATTACGTAGTATAAGCAATATCGTTTTTTTTTTCAAAATGGTGGTATCGGCATATAGACAACAAAAGTGGTATTGGTACATCTCTAGTTGTAAAGTCAAATACGACAGAGAAAGCAAAACCAGTATTCAATGGTTGAGCAGCACTAGTGCCGATTTATTGGCCTGCACATTGATTAAATAATTTGGATGAAATATTCATAAAACAATGGTTTTCAATCTGAGGGGGGCGAGTCCCAAACACCTAAGGTGAAAGGGGTGGCACGAAGTCGTATGAAGAGTAACTGCACGATCGTTACGATATGTCAGTTTGTCAAACGTTGATGAGACAAAGACAACAGCCATAAAAGCAATCAGAGTTGACTCAAGAACAAGTGAGTAGGCACAGGGTAAGTAAGGTAAAACGTACGGTTCAAATCAGCAAAAACTATTAACTTCACATCGTAAAATATCTGCAGGGCTAGGGGTAGTATTAATATCTATTACATTAATGATTAATCATGATTTTTGGACATTAAATTTATTATTTTAACATATTATTTATCATCCAATTAAAATTAGAAAACTTGAAGATATAAATTGAAAAAGACGTTGTAGTTCAATATTTGTTGAAATATGCAGTGGATTTAACTTTGGTATAGGCAGAATATTATATTAAACACAATAGTTACATCTGATTGACTTTGTTACAGTATATGGTACTTTCGTAGTATGTGCACCAAGATGGCGGACACCGGACCGTAGTATGTGTACCAGGTTGGGGTTAGGCCATAATTTCAGGTACAAATACTACGGGAGTCATTTGGCTATTCCCCAAACTCGTAATGGAACTAAAATAAGGAAAATTAGAGTAAAAATATGGCCTTACCCTAACCTGGTACACATACTACTTTCCTGTGTCCTCCATTTTGATGCACATACTACGGAATTCCCAGTATATGTGTTCGTTTTCATCTGAATGCTGTTTTTGGTAAGGTCAAATGCTATTGTGATTTCAATAGCTGGTCACAGTGCCTCCGCGGTCTCCTAAAGTGACCTTGAATATCTGACCACCGACTCTTCAAATTGATTACTCCGTATATTTCATTTTCAAAAGATTAATGTCTCAATGCTGTGATTTTTGTCAACAAGATAAGCTGGAGTATAGCGTAGCTGGGAGCATGAAACGGAATGTCGAGGGCAGGGATGCACAAGAAAAAAAACAAATATCGACGTCTCTGAGACACAAAACTTTCGTTCGCAAAGGGATATTTTTGATATTTTCAAAAATATAGTTTACCGATATAATATTGGTAACACCGGTTTATTTAAGAACGTCATGTTGATTTAAACAATCGGTGACTAGAATAAAATTAGCCATGCGAAAATAATAGCACGCGTTATAAGGGAGTTTTCAGGTTCGGGTTCGGGCGTCGGGGCTGACCCTCTGGCTTCGCCTATAAATAGGCTTACCATACGTCTCGCTTTGGGCGGGACAGTCCCGCTTTTTACGTTTTGTCCCGCCGTCCTGACAAGTCAGCCAAAAGTCCCACTTTTGCTTTCAGCCATCCATCATAATACACGAACATTACCAATTAACATGTTCTCGTTACTGCATGCGTTATTTTGTTTGTTTCATTGTTAGCGAACCTATCTGTCACATGTAAAATCAATACTAATTGGTCCTGCTCTGACTTTTACGTGAGAGTAATATTGAACAACGTCTTTTTGAAGAAGGTGTTGTCTACAAAAAATTATGATTAGGCAAATAAGTAAATTCTCAGTGCTTGAAAGCCGATTTTTTTATTACTCCTTCCTCTTGGTGTACATGAGAAATCTAAATTCAAATTATTTTGTATCGTTAACGTCAATTCCTTTCTATTTTTCAATATGGTCAATGAAGAAAGCCGGGATTGCTTTAAATGTAGGCCTTTGTAGTAAAATTGGAAAATGTAAAGTTACAAAATCACAGCTAAAGGGGTCGTTGTCTTTGGAGGCGTCCCGCTTTGAAGTCACAAAAATCTGGTAACGCTACCTATAACAAATGTCATTATTGTCAAAAATTACAATTTCCTCAGCTATTCTTTAGTAAGACCGTTCCCCATGATCGTTCACTGACTAGACCAGTGGTTCCCAAACTTTTTGTACCATCGCCCCCCTATAGTAGTTTATACAACTTCATCGCCCCCCGGCACTGCAAAAAAAATTGAAAGTCTGAAACGAATTTATTATAGACCAAATAAGGAGACAAATCATAGTTTATACTTATAGTGTTTTTTAACGAGATGGATGAGCTTGGTGTACTTCATCGAGTTTATTTATTATATCTAAAATTACCCCGTTTACTGATGGAAAGGCGATTTAGTTGTTTTGATAGCAATAGCAGCACGGCTGAAAACCCCTCTTTCACCATATCCGAGGGCGGAAATGAAATAACTCTGGGTTCTACCTTCTCAAAGACCGCCGTGTAGGCCTACTCTTGCCTTATAGCATTTATATCCCTAAATTCACCCCATTTCACATTGAAATAATGAAAAAAAATTAAATTTCCAAAACTTATAATGATGATTTTCGTACATCTCATTGATCCCTACATCCTGATGACCAGTGTTCCCTCTAAGGTGTGCGCGTGTGCGCGCGCACACAACTTTCAGAGGCTGCGCACACGCATAGATTTACTGCACACAGACGTATTTCGATGTAATGTAACAATGTTCTTTGTTCCCCCTTATTTGAATTCAAATAAAACCATCTGTTACAATCAATTTCATTTATTATTTTCCATGTATGTTCATTGTTATCTACTGACAATATATAGCCTTCACTGAAGCATTTACAATCTATAGAAAAACTTATTGAATAACCAAAATTTTCTTAATAAGCCCACTTATTACCCGGTTAGAACGCCAGAATTTCTTCATTGGTTTTTGCACAAATATTAGTCCTTTTTTAAAAAATTGCGCACACACCAAAATTTCTGCGCAAACATACTACAAAAATTAGAGGGAACATTGCTGATGACCTTTACCAAAATACATGATATATAACGGTCTTCGGTAAAATTCATCCCCGATTCCTCTACCTACCACGTCCTCCAGTCCGATCACCAGGCCATAGAATCAATCAGCCATTTGCTTTCGATTCGTGGACTCGGATGGCCCAGGGGTCCGCAAATTTTACGTCGCTCGCAAGACAAATTTGGAGTTGCTATTCCTTTGCGGATCGCATATATTTTTTGAAAGTTAAAAACGGAACATCGTGCGAAAACTGCTACAATTCGTGAACTTGACTCAGTCGTCTTATTAAAAAATAATTACAATGACATTTAATGTGACACTGTCTTGTTGCTGCATCACGCTTGATAGCTTTACGACGCCAAGATTGGAAGATTTTCTAAATGGGCATCACTAATCTTAGTTCTTTGCTTGTTCTTTGTAATGTTCATTTTCAAAAATAATTGTTCGTACAAATATGTACTTCCAAACATCGAAGTGAATATTTTCGCATGGTTTCTGAAATTTTGATAAAGATTTTCTTTAAGAAGATATACATTCTTACAAAAATTAAGCAGTGATGAATCTCTCGAATAGAATATGAATTTTATTTCTGCGTGTTTCCATTTGTCTAATTATAATTGAACTGTAGGCTCGTTAAACGAGTAGCTGTTCAATATAATTTTTAGGATATAATAAAATTTAGTCTGAACGTGTCTCACGATAAATTCTGTTACGTAAAAAAAAACGTAATTTACATAAAATTAATTCATCGTTAAAACCGCCGTGTGGATGCTTCCCCATCGCCCCCTTTCGCATCCGCTCAGAGCCTCAGGCACATTCCCCACTCAGACAGACTTTCAGGCGTGGTCGTGAACATTACCTCATTTTCGCGATCATGAATTATATTAGTTAGTTTTTAGTTGAATAAGTCAATGTTCATCCTAGCAGTTTCAGTTCAATTACAGTAATCAAAAATTAGTGTACAAACAGCTGTGATAGACTAGGCTAAAATTCTTTACCGGTACTTTTAAAAAACAGATTGTTGAATGGTATGAATTAGAATGATAGTTTGAAACAAATACTTCATTTTATAGGCAACAACTCGCGAAACCACTCTTAAAATAAGCACCGAAAAAATGAATTTCAGTAAATAAAGTAAGGGATGAATTTACCGGGGTCAAAGGTCGGTAAAAGGTCCATTCAGTGAAGCGTCCCGGGCCAGATTACTACAGATTTCCCGACCACATGGATACGCAAACTACCGTCCCTCATTACTGCAAAGACCATTTCAGCAATCCTTTAGCGTGTGCCATCGCCCACGTGATTCAAACCTACGAAAGCACGCAGAGTACAGTAATCAAGTGCACGATGCGCCGACCAAAAACAGGTTTCGCGAAATCGCCCCCTTCGACTTTTTCGCCCCCCGTCTGTATCGTTTTCGCCCACCGGGGGGCGATATCGCCCACTTTGGGAATCACTGGACTAGACACTTCCTTCCCACGTCCGTCTATTATATAATCATTCTGTTGCATCGATGTCTCACTCTATAATTCGAACGTGAAGGGAGTTAAACAAAACTTATTTTGATTGAATTCCCATGTGAGAATCAATGATAATATTATGTTTTTCACATAATAAAATGAGATCGAACATATATACGCTATGACCAATCAAATTGTGGCAAGCATACCCATGCTGCAATAATATGTAATATTTAAATGATGCGTACCAAGTAGATCAATAATAAAACAAAGACACGTCTTATGGGCTCGGGTTCCAAATAGCGACTGTCAAAACAGCGACTGTCATAATTGCGACTTCATAATAGCGACGTAATCAAGTGATCGACTGTCAAAACAGCGACTGCCACAACAGCGACATCACTTCCTTTTTTGAATCCAAGGCTTACGCGCTCTCTTTTTCCCACTTTGTTTCGTCATTCATGTACAAAAAGTTAAGTCGCTATCATAACAGTCGCTGTTTTAATGCGGTCGCCATTATGACAGTTACTCTCTTAATTACGTCGCTATTATGAAGTCGCCATTATGACAATCGCTGTTTTGACAGTCGCTATCCTGGATACCGTCTTATGCCGTAATGGAATTCAAGCTACAATCTATCGTTATTCTGATGTATCAAGTTCGGCATGAATATGTATTGATCCAGTTTCCGGTTGTTGTTAAGCAAGTTTAAAAATTAGTAGTTTTGAGTATTCGTTTATTATGCGTTAAGTTTTGCCGTTAATTTTAAACTGATCCACTTATTCTCGTTTGTTTGCATACGTAATCAGAGGTCTTGGGGAGTTGAAATTGAGTTGATATTCTTTCATTATCAAGAGTGTTATACTGAAATTCGCTCCTTGGAAATGTGTCGTATATACAGTATAACGGTTTAAAATTTAAAAAAAGTGCTGTTCATATTGCAGCAGTAATGCTCCAAGAACAGTTGGAAAAATACCTCTACATTTGCTTGTATATTCATGCATGTCAAGAAGCTTCGAAATGTGAACAAAATGCCGACGGTAATTCGATACATCATATATTAGTAGTTTAAAGTTTTTTTTTATAATCACATAATAATTAAAGCGGCATCAATCATATAAATTTGAAAAGTCAAATTTAAGTTACCTGAGATGTAAAGTATTTTAGAAGGATCATGGTAGTGACGGGAATTATGTTTAATAATTGTTATCGCAATACTTATTTCTGTTTATCTTTTCGCACTAACAAGAAACAAGATGTTATCCAATTTCAACTCCAGAGAATGGAAAAATATATTGTAGCAATGACAACATCGTTGATTCTGAATGTGCATTTGCATGTGCGCCTTATCATTCGTTAGTTGGATCAAGTAACATCAAATGTTTACAAACGTCATCTGGATTGAAATGGTCGAATTCAACTGTGGTTTTATGCAAAGGTAAGTATATTTGTTATACAATCCGTGTGATCTAAAAAACTTTTATGTCTATGATAAACATATATTTTTATTTTACATCCAATTCGCATCAACAACCTTATACTGTAATACTGAATATATGATTTACAGTCAATCGTTGCAAACCAGAGATCGACATGCATGTTCCGGGCAAATTCGTGACTTGTTCAAGAACAGATGAAGTCACTTCTGTATGTCATTTTAAATGTTTAAAACCAGGGTACACGGTATCCCCCACTAGAACAATCAGATGCTTACCGAACCAACAATGGAGCGGGAAAATTCCATGTTGTGGTCGTAAGTAATACATATAATAACTACTAATACTACAATTCTTGTTTTAATGAATCAGTCATCAGAATGAAGCCAAGCATTAGGAACATTTTAAGTATTTTCAAAAATCAGCCTATATTAAATATAATGTTAATTGGGAGAATCATGACTCTGTTGTTTTTAAATAATTTTGTCATAGAGTTACAATAAAACACTGCTTCTACTACAAGAGGCCTTCGGTGATGCAGTAGCAAAATTGTGGTTGACGATAAGTGTAAATTATTCAAACCGGTTATGGTTATGTTCTTGTTCCGCCATATAAAAAATCGATGATTTTCAATTGACAATATTTAAGTTTTCGTTAACAACACTTATTCATAGAATTGATTTTTAGATTGAACTATAATCTGGAATAACTTCTAATATATTAGCAACGTGCTAACATCTCTTTTTCAAGGTTCTTGCAATCTGTTCTCAATTACGGATATTTATATAGTTTTGGAATCTTCTGAATACATTGGAGTGAATGCTTGGGTTAAAATGAAGCAATTTATGAAGGATGTGTTGGGGTACGAACATTTAACTCGGTCTAAATACAATTCGAAATGATATTCTATAAATTTTATTATTGTCACCACAGCTATACGAAATAGTATATTTTAACAATACATAATAAAAACCAAAAAAAATTCAATATAGTATAATCAGTTCCAAAGATAATCGTTATGAAACACTTTTTGTTGAAGCATTTGTGTCGTACATCGTTTTTATACAAATAAATATTGAAGACTTTTTTGGAAATAATAATAATATTTTACAAACGAATTCAGGAGTTACGACATATCTTCGGAATCAATGAAGATTTCTGTAATGCGATTTAATAAGGATGTGGACACCGACAATATTATTCATATGGATGACTATTTGAATAAAAAATCTGAATTCTGGTATAAATTTGATAGACTGCCTCATGGTGGAAAAGGTATAATGTAGTTTTGTTATGTAGCTAGTAATTTAACCATATAATGGTAAGTAAATACAATATCCGTGAATACATGTTTTTCTTACAATCTTTCTTACTTATACAGCAATCAAATTCCGGGAACATATATTAGCCTATACGAAAATCATATAAATGAACCATATCTTATTTAGCTGGATCACGAAGTAATTGAATTCATTTTAAAAAAATGTTTCTAAATATATTTGCTCACAATATATTTCCAATTAGTACTATATTATTTGGTTGTTATAAATTGCGTGTTTGAGGGAGTCTAACTTTGGTCGGACGAAATGTTACAGAAGTACATTTGTGTTAGTGTGACCCTTTAATTGGTTAGAATAGTAATGTTTATTCCAGCTACAGCATATGGATCCACTAATATAAAGGCATAGACAGGAGGAAAGATAGGGAGTTAGTCTCGCGCAACCCAACCCAAAGTTATACTAATTTGAATACCGTTGTATATATTCAGGATCAAATACTGGCAAAGCAATTCGGTACCTTGTCAACAACATGATGAACAAAGAATCTGGTAATCGCATCAATGTACTGGACGTTGTTTATTTATTCTCTTCAGGAAAATTTGATGATGATGTTTCTGAAGCATCGAGGGAATTACGAGAAAGCGGAGCGTTTGTAAGTTTTGTTTTGTCAAAGGAAAATACCACAAAATCAATACGTATTCGTTGCATGGAGTTAAAAGTTAAATCCCTAAACCTGTCACATCGGTATGAAAATCCTACGTGTTTCCAGTTTTATGATAATAGACAATAATCATTTTTCGTAGGATCTTAATGCAAGACTTGGCTATGCTAACCATATCAAAGGAGACTTAGTCTGTTGCGGCAATTGCAATATGATTGGGTTCTGGTAAATTACCTATTCGTGTTTAAAACGCGACATAGCTGGATTTTAACAAGTCTCTCTTGCCGTGCTTGTTGCCTATATACAGTATTCTGCTGGTATCATACGGTGACAGCACATTTGAACCTACGTACATTTGAACCCGTACATCTGAACCCGTAATTTGAACCCCGGACAATTGCACCTGTATACTATTGCACCTATGGACATTTGCACCTACGGACATTTGAACCCATACATTTCCACCCATGGATTTTAGCACCCGCATACAGATTGAACCCGCGGACATTTGAACCCGTGTACGTTTGCACCCGCGTACATTTGAACCCATGTACATTTTCACCCGCGGACATTTGAACCCGTGTACGTTTGCACCCGCGTACATTTGAACCCATGTACATTTGCACCCGCGGACATTTGAACCCATGTACATTTGAACCCACGAACATTTGCACCCGCGGACATTTGAACCCATGTACATTTGCACCCGCGGACATTTGAACCTACATACATTTACACCCGCGTACTTTTACACCCGCGTACAATTGTACCCACAGACATTTGCACCCATGAACATCTACACCCATGGGCATTTGCATTTACGGATATCAGCGTCTTTACATATACACCCTTATCCTTCCATGCTATATACTATAGTATATAGCAGGGCTACTCAACTGGCGGTCCGAATCCGGACCTTTTGACCATAAAATTTGGACCGCGTTTGCTTGTTTATTTTAGCAGCATAAGCATCGTTTTATAGTTTTAAATGATTTTGATACAATTTAAATACACAGCTGTACAGTTTGTCGTACTGGTACCGATGTGCGACATGTGTGTCCATATTTGCGAGCCATTCATTGCTCTTGTATTTAATTCAATATTGAATTTGAAGTTTCGCTTATTTGATGAAATAAATTTTCTGTAATGTCCGGACCCCGGTAATTTTGAAGTTTCGTAAACGGACCTTTGGTGAAAATAGTTGAGTAGCCCTGGTATATAGGATTGGAAGGTACACTTAGGATTCTTTCTCCAAATGCATACGTTGCGAAAACAATCAATATTACCATGGAATTCTCGACTATATACTCGAAGGCTTTATTACAACTATTTTCTATGGTTCCATTACATTTGAACCCACGTACATTTGAACCCATGACAATTGCACCTGTATGCTATTGCACCTATGATATTTTTTTGTTTCTCGGATAGTTGAACCCATACTAACCCTAACCCATGGGTTTTAGCACCCGCATATAGATTAAACCCGTGGATATACACATAGGTTCAAATGTACGTGGGTTCAAATGTACGGTCACCATTTTCTATATATTTAAATTATATTATATATTTATATTATACTCCGTCTGTCATTGTCATCGCAGTTGTCGATATCATAAGACTCAATGGACAAAATGTTCCGCTGTAGAATGCGAGCCAAAATTGGGGAGTATGATTTGTGCTTTGAACGGTCGACGACTCTTGAAGAGCGCGAGCAAGGATTTTAATTGATGTGTTAGTTCGATCCCGCGCAAAGTTTTTCCTCGCATCAATGCCCTTTTTCCCTCGCAGATAGTTCGATCCCGCGCAAAGTTTTTCCTCGCATCAATGCCCTTTTTCCCTCGCAGACAATTCCAAACTGTTTCTTCAGGACGTTGCAGCAGCGAAGATGACAAGTCCCTTTGCGAAAATAAGTTGGAAACATGGCGCCTACATTTTCCAAGACCACAAGAGGAAACGACTTACTGATTTACAAAGGCCACGAATATTGTAAGCGAAAGGATCGGGTTTCAGATGCTACTCATTGGCGCTGCCGTCAGTTTAGGAAATTTCGATTTAAATCGACTGTTGTTACGATCGGTGAAAATGTAATAAAAGAACTAGGATATCACAGTCATTCTGGCGACAGCATTAAGACTGAAGTTGGGATCATCCGTGCAACATTAAAAGAAGCAGCATCAACACCATCAAATACATCGACAAGATATATTTTAGGTGAAGTATTGAATAATAGATCAAGAGATGTACTAATGCGCTTGCCAGGCAAGTCGACTCTGGAGGCCAATATACGCAGAGTAAGGCGACAGAAAAATTGTTTACGTACGAATCCTACAAGTGCAAGCTTTAATATTCCGAGCGAATATTTAGATATCATTTTGCATGACACTGGCCCGGAGGATCGTCATCGGATAATGGCCATTGGAGATCGATCACTACTTGCACATCTAGATAGTGTCACATATCTTGGCGACGGTACATTTGATGTGGTGCCCGGTATTTTCTTCCAGTTGTATACAATTCACTGTAAAGTGGGCGCATCCTATCCACCATGCGTATATTTCCTATTACGAGACAAGCGACAAGAAACATACGTTCAGATGTGGGAAGTGTTGAAAATCATTTTCCCAAATGCTAACCCTACCAAAATCATTGTTGATTTTGAAATAGCAGCTATCAATGCATTCCATGGACAATTTCCTCTGGCCGATATTAAAGGATGTTATTTTCATCTGTCACAAGCTAAAATTCGAAAAGTTGGTTCTATCGGATTGAAAGAGAAGTTTGAATGTTTACCCTCTTTCAATCTGAAAATTAGAAGTTTGGCAGCTCTGGCTTTTGATCCCATTAACGAGGTTGCCGAAGTCTTCACCTTGCTTTGCGACACCTTCGAAGATTCGCCCGAATGCAATCAACTTTTGCAATATTTTGAATCTACCTACATTCGTGGACCTCAAGTGGGTTCACGTCCAAGAGAAGCAAGATTTCCCCCTCGGTTGTGGAACTATGCCAAAGAGATTGAAATGATGCCTTCGGCCCCAAGAACAACAAACGCTGTAGAAGGATTTCACAACGCCTTACAAGGAATGTTCCGATGCAAACATCCGAGTATATGGGGTTTGCTGAATGGCCTACGAAAAGACATTGCGGTCTACAAACTGACTGCGGCAAATGCTCATGTAGGAGTTACGGCCCACCAAAGATCAAAGTATGTACAACTTGCTGTTAGGTTGTCAGTTAAAGTTTTTTCATATGGAACTGAAACCGACAAGCTGAGGTATCTCCACTCAATAGCTCAAATGCAGTCTATTTGATTTTGACTTTGATCGTGATATCGTAAAATTTCGTTTATCGTCATTATTTTGATTTGTTGTTTAACTATTGTATCATAATTGATAAATTCCTATTTTGTAAAATGTCCATAGCTACTCTATCTCAAAATTGATCGCCCATTCGACACAAATTTGTGAGTGATAACTTTATTGAAGTATTAAAATAAATGTAATCCGTAACCTATGACGTCGTTTGTAAATTGCAATATCATATTTAACAGACCCTATATGCTGAATATGTTCGATTTACTCTAAATAGTGTAAACAGCAAAAACCATTTTTGGCCACGATAATGATTTTAAAACTTCTTCACTTTCGAATATTCAACATATTTACATGACTTACGATTTCTATGTATAGTTTTGTTCTGACATTCTAATGAAACAATACTTCAATAAAACTGGCATTTGGCTATGAACATGTTGTTACAAAAATGACATAGTTTCATTATCTTAATTTCATATTTTCTTAGAAACGAAGAATCTGTGCGTTTATTTATTTATATACAGACAATAGTATTCAATTTATAGATTGATTTTAGGAAAAATGGCAAAACCTGATTTGAGACAACACTCATTTTCAACAGTAAAGCGTGGTCGTGTATGCATACATATAACAATTTTGTAAACATGCTAGCAAGAAAACATGAAGTGGCCACAGAGCTCCCAAATCTCATGCTGGGCGGGATATCATAGTAGGCGTTTTCGGTGCAATAATTTCAGAACAAATTTATAGGAGTTGACCACTAAAAATATTACTGTAAAGCTAGTTTTAGTAAGACCCGCATTTAAGACTTCATTGGTCTGTGAGATATTTGTTCCGTATTAGCCCTTGTTTCAGGTATTTCAACGAAATACCGCTTTCTAGGTCATCGTCTGTTTTGGAGATCGCGGCTAACGATGGAGATAAGGATTTACAAATATCAATGTAAAAAAAACAGCAAAAGAAAAAAGACCTTGGCAGAACAATGTTGTTTATATCGTTAAGAGACGTTTATCCCTCGGACTAGGGACTACGATGACACTCAAAAATGCTTGCTTCGTAGAAGCGGGTAAATGCATATACACCAAAACTAACTACAAATGAAACAGTGTTGAAATTTAGAATATTGAGCTTGCGCCTGTAACATGAAAATTATTTGCGACTGGAATTTGCTGTTGGGGCAAACATTTTTTGTGAAAATGTGCGTGGGTTCAAATGTACGCGAGTTCAAATATAATATACGTTGGTTCAAATATACGCGGGTTCAAATGTCCGTGGGTTCAAATGTACGCAGGTTCAAATATACGTGGGTTCAAATGTCTGTGGGTGGAAATATACATGGGTTCAAATGTCCGCGGGTGCAAATGTTCGTGGGTTCAAATGTACATGGGTTCAAATGTCCGCGGGTGCAAATGTCCAGGGTGCAAATGTTCGTGGGTTCAAATGTACATGGGTTCAAATGTCCGCAGGTGCAAATGTACATGGGTTCAAATGTACGCGGGTGCAAACGTACACGGGTTCAAATGTCCGCGGGTGCAAATGTACATGGGTTCAAATGTACGCGGGTGCAAACGTACACGGGTTCAAATGTCCGCGGGTTCAATCTATATGCGGGTGCTAAAATCCATGGGTGGAAATGTATGGGTTCAAATGTCCGTAGGTGCAAATGTTCATAGGTGCAATAGTATACAGGTGCAATTGTTCTGGGTTCAAATTACGGGTTCAGATGTACGGGTGCAAATGTACGCGGGTTCAAAGATAATGGAACCTAAATCATATATTCAGTATTACAGTAAAAGATTGTTGGTGAAATTAGAT